GCACTATAACAATGTATATTTCTGCCTAGAGTGAATGATTGTGCCTATTTCCTCTTACCCTTACCAGAATTGGACTTATCAATCTTTTAAATATTTGTTCATCTAATAGGTAGCAATTCTGAAATTCTGAACTCTGAATTTTTTATTTTAATTTGCACTCCCTTGACTACTTGTTTATTATTATTTAAATTGTCTATATATATTTTTGTCTGCTTGATTTATCAGTTGAGTTAAGAGGTGTTGAAACACAGGTATTATTCCATTTTAGATTTACATGGTCATTAATATATTTGAATTAGAATTATTTTGCTTTTTCCTTCTTGGCTTTTCTGGGTTTTTTTGAGATAGGGTATGGCTCTGTTGCATGGGCTAGAGTGCAGTGGCATCATGATAGCCAACCTCAAATTCCTGGGCTCAAGTGATTCTCTCACCTCAGACTCCCAAGTAGCTGGAACTACAGGAAGGTGCCACTACGTCTGGCTAATTTTCCTGTTTTTTGTAGAGAGGAGGTCTCTCTATGTTGCTCATGCCAGTCTCGAACTGCTGGCTTCAAGAGGCCTTCCTACCTCAACCTACCAAAGTGTTAGGATTATAGGTGTGAGCCACCATGCCTGGTCCTTTTTTTGTTTGAATGAATGAATACTTCTATTCCACTTCTCACACAGATTAATGTGATATATATTATGATTGAAAGTATTTTCAATATCCCATCATACATTTCTGCAATACAAATATGCAAGTGAATTAAAATTAAAACTTTTTAAACTTCCTGTGACCACAAAGTTGTAAATATTTTTTAAAACTTCCTCATATTAATATATGATTATCAAACAATAAATTTTGGTAAACAATTATTAAACATGATACTTCAACATTTTATATACTCTTAAAGTAATTGATTGGCTTTTTTAAAAATTTAGTTTTAAATAACAGTATCATTCTATTCTTTGCACTTTTGTGTCATACATACAGCAAAAATTACATGGTGATTTATCATAAATGATCAACTTGGTTATTTTTTGGCTGATGTATTTATGAGGTACAGGCTAAACTGCTATAACAAAGAAATGGTATAAAAACATGCAGCGGCTAAACAAAACAGAATTTTATTTCTCTCTCACGTAAGAATCCTGGGTGGTTTAGGATAGGTAGGATACTTTGTTCCATGAGGTTTTCTAGGAAGGAAATTCCTTCCTCCTTCTGTTGTTGCTTTCCCATTCCTTAAAATATTGCCTTCAGCTGAATGGTTGAAGCCAGTTCACTTAGCTCTCTAACTACATTTCAACCAGTAGGAACTGGAAAAGGAGGAATATTGAATCATTTTGCTGTACAAAAAACCACCCAAACCATGGTGGCTTAAAAAAATAATCATTTATTAGCTCACAATTCTGTGTTTCAGCAATGTGGGCTGGACTCAGCTGGGTCCTCTAATGGTCTTACCTGAGGTACTCATTTGTCTGTAGTCAGCTGGAGGGAGGCTGATGCTTGGCTGAGGGGGGAAACTGTGTCATGTGTCTCTAGCATCTAGAAGGCCAGCCTGATCTTTGTCATGGAGAGGCTGGGCTGTAAATGCAGAAAAGGAGGGCAGAACCCCACACATAAGCACTTTCAAGACTCTGCTTGTACCATAGTTGCTAATAGCCCATCAGCTAAACCAAGATTTAATAGGCTGAATGGAGTGGCCAAGTCACATTGCCAAGGGGTATGTATACAGAGATAGGAGGAATTTGTGGCTGTTTGTTTTAGCAATCTACTACAAACAACAAGGTCTGCAGTAGCACATACTACTTCCCTTTATCTGCCATTGCCAAAAACTTAGCCACATAGGAAAACCCCAACTACAAACAGGGGCTAGCCAGTACTCTACTAAAACTCAGTGAGTGGCGGCAGCGAGCGGTCTAGCGAAGCGATGTGGAGGGCAAATCGGCTGGAAGAAACAGCTGTCTATCCCATACGCTACAATCCATTAGCTATTTCCTTCCACACATTTCTAGAAGCCAGAATTAGAAACCACTCTGAATCTTACACACAGGATCTTGGTGGCGCCTATTCCTTTCCGCGCTCTGCCATCCTCCCGGTGGAACCGCACCAGATGCAGATTATTTGCTTCCGGCCCTAGGGGAGCCTCAGTACCAATCGACCTCCAGATACGGAGGAATTCATTGATGTTTTTCTGGCCCTTTTTTGTCGAGTCACTCTTTCTTGTGTTGTGGACTCGTCGCGTGGTGCAAGAACGGAATACCACTCCCAACGAACTCGGGCAGAAGGTAAGTGCCTGCCACCTATCGTGCATCGCCTGCATTATGTCTCGGGTCGGTCTGGGTCCTTCCGATTTGCTGTGGGCTTGGGTTGTTGGCGCCTTTTGGACTTTTTGTGGGCAACTGTATGTCTAACTTACTGCTTCAATAACGCACACTCATTGTACCTGAGTACGAAAAGCCCTGTTATATTCTCAATTATTTTATTAATTTCTTAATGCGTCCCTTTCATATAAACTGTCAAACATGCCACACACCAGACACCACACACTGAGGGAGTGCGGGAGTCCGCTCAAGGTCCAGGAGTTTGAAACGCAGCCTGACACGAGCAAGACCCCATCTCAAATAGAATAATTCAATGGCCAACTCAAATAATATCAGAAACAACTTAGCCGGCGCGCATGGGTCGCACCGTGCCTGTGTCCGCGAGCTTCTGGGCTGGCGCGGGGGCAGGGCGAGCCCGCTGAGTGCGCGAGGGCGAGGTTACGGGCTTGCTGCCTGGCCTGTGCCATAGCCTTCTACTGCCCCAGGCAACAGATGAACTCTGTCTCACAAAACAAAACAAAACAAACAAAAATCCATTATACACACACGCGAGCACACATATAATTTATTATATTTATATTAATTTCTTATATTATTTGAGCCAGATCTCAAGACTATAGAATTACACACCAGAAAGGAAAACACGAAAGGCGTCCGGCCTAGCTCACAGGCACCCCTCAACCTCTGGCTCGAAGTGATCCTTCTGCTCAGCCTCGCGGTACAGCCTGCGACTACAGGCATCTTGCCACCATGCCCGGCTAATCATTTATATCTATAATCAGTGGCTCATTAATTTGCTCTATTTATAGGTAGAGACGGGTCTCGCTCTTGCTCAGGCTGGTTTCCGAACTCCTGACCCTTGAGCCAATCCCGCCTCGGCCTCCAAGGAGCTAGGCGATTACAGGCTGAGCCACAGCGCCCGGCCCACAGAGGGATTTTTAAAAATAAAATGTCCTTATATAACATAGACTCTGCAATTTGCCTTTTTAACATAATGATATATTATGGACATTCCTTCAGGCCTATATTATACGAACTAACTTCATTCCTTTTTAATAATATATAATATTTTATTGTATTTATGAATCAAAATTTATTAAACCATTTCCCTATTGATGAAAGTCAGGAGTATTTTTGGTTTTGTGCAGCTTGAGCTTTTGATATGGGGGTAAGTTTTCTTAGGCAGGACAAGAAGATATAAATACAAAAGATAAAGCAATAAAAATATTGGAAGATAATCAGCCTCAGCCCAAGGGAAACTTTCTTTTTTTTTTGAGACAGAGTCTCACTCGTGTTGCGCCTGGGCTAGGGGAGTGCCAGTGGCTCACCTAGCCTCACAGCAACCTCTAACCCGCGGGCTCAAGGCAACTCCTTCTCCCTGCAGCACTCCTGCGTAGCTGGGACCTATAGGCACACACCACCGATGCCTGCTACATTTGTTTCCTATAAAGTTTTTAGTCAGCCTAATTAATTTTCTTTGCTATGTTTTAGCAAAGATGGGGATCTCGGCTCTTGCTCAGGCTGGTTTCGACACTCCCTGACTCTGAGTGATCCACCCTCGGCCCCCCAGAGTGCTAGGATTACAGGTAATGGACCATCGCGCACGGCCAGGAAACTTTCTTAAACAATACCTGGAAACCCAGACAACCTTGAAAGAACATGTTACGATATGTTGTTTATGTTTCAGTTACATTACGAACAATTCTTCTTCTTCTTCTTTTGGAGACACAGTACTCACTCTGTCACCGCGCTGGCTAGAGACAGGCTGATTCATCAGTTAGCTCACAAGCAACCTCAACTCCTGGGTCAGCAATTCTCTCTGTCAGCCTCCTGCAGTAGCTGGACTACAGGGACTGGCACAGGGGCTAAGTTTTTTTAGTAGCGACCGGGTGTTTTGCTTAAGCTGGTCTTGAACTCCTGAGCTCAAGCTATCCTCTCACCTCGGCCTCCCAGAGTGCTAGGATTATAGGTGTGAGCCACCATGCCTGGCCCAAATATAAATTTGCTTGTGGAAAAAAGCATCATAAACAAAGTCAAGAGAAAAACAGCAAAGTGGGAGCAAGTCTTCAAAAAAATGGCAGATGGGTTAATATATCTAATATAGAGAAAGCTCCTAAAAGTTGATTTTTTTAAGGAAATGCAAACAACACAAACACAAAATTCATAGAAGAGTAAATACTAATGACCAATAAACAGATGAAAAGATCCTCAACCTCACTAGTCATGGAAATGTAAAATACAACAACAGCAACATCTAATTTTTCATCTATCAGATTGGCAAAAATATACATTACAGATAATATCCAATGCCGGCAAGGGCATGAGGAAATGTACACTACCAAGCATTCTTGGTGAACATCGGAATCTCAACAACCTTTTTTGGAGAGTAATCTGATTATAGTAGAAAGAAATTTTAATGTTCATATTCTTTGACCCAGCAATCCATTTAATTTAGGGGGAAAAAAATTAAAGGCCGTAACATAGAAAATATGGCCTTTAATGTCTCTCTCCTTTCCCCATGCTTCTCCCCTGTACGCTTCTCTTGATTTACTCTCTCATTGCTCAGCCAGCTGGACTCCATGGCCAAACCCTCCTCTATCTCTATCATATTCTCGCCAACCAAAGCTACTGCCTGGGACGGGGGATGGGCTTAGAGCGCTGGAAGGCTTTGTCTAGTGGATCCCCCTGTGCTTTCAGGAGAGTGAGGCCAAGGACCAGCAGAGTCAACACTTGCTTCGAGTTCCCAGGCCTGCTAACAATGTGCAGGATGCTGATGGCATCTGGCAGAGGCTGCTGTGCCCTGGCCATCCTGCTGGCATTTGTGGACATCCAACCTGGTGGTAAGGACAGACCCCAAAACATAGACAGCCATTGGGGAGAATATTGGGCTCACAGGGAGGGATGGATCCCATGTTTTTCTCTGGTAGGGAAGAAAAGGACTCACTCTTCTTGTCACTAATGAAAGGATAAAATCTATAGTGTCTTTTTATTTAGTGTTAGAACTAATACTATTGCCTCTCCATCAGACATTCTGCCTCTGCTACATGTTGCAAAGAGCCTAGTAATCAATCTAAAATTCCTTCAGGCTTTTATATGATGAAATCCAGGTTTGAGATCCACATACTACAGTCTTTGTCCACTTTACCAACCAGTTTAACCAGTCTGTGCCTCAGTTTACTTATGAAATGGGAATCATCATACCTGTCTCTACGGCTATACCAAGAATTACGTATATAGGAAAACACTTTAATAGAGACTCTAAAAAAGTCCACAGATGTAGCCAATCATTAAAAAAATTAAAAAAAAAGTAAAAAAAAAATAAAAAAGTTCCAATGAGAGAGTGGATGAGTTGATGAATGGCTGGGATTGCACCCCCTCTAGCCCACAAACTACTCTTCCAAGAGGGTGGCATTTAACATCTATGGGGCAGCCGCCATCTCTGCCTCAACAGAGGCAGAGATGTGAGTGAATTTAGTTTACCAGGTATACCAAGGAGAGTAATACAAGGAAAAACAAGTCACAGGGGTTCAACCTGCTGAGGGAGTGGGGCAGGGGAGTGGCAGCCTCTGCATCTGTCTGGTGGGTTTTTAGCAGGGAGCTGAACTTAACCAAGGCTGGAGTTCTGCAAGGAAGCCTTATGGAGGCAATAAAGCTACGGGACCTGAGGGTGGATATAGGGGGTGATTAAAGCAGTGGACTACAAGACATAAACTGCATATGGAAGTGAAGTTGTGCGGAGAGTCAGGGACAGAATAGACCCTATGTTTTCAGTTACCATAGACCACAATTACTGCAGCAAGTGAATAAAAGGGGAGAGGAGAGGAGAGCAAAGGGTATCAAAGAAAAGTCTGCGTTTCAGATTTCTGATTTAAGAGAGGGCTGAGAGCAAAAGTCAAGGTATTTGTTTATTCAACATCCCGTCAATGTTTGCTCAGGATACAGAAGTGAATTAAATGAACAAAAATCTCTGCCTGCATGGAACATACATTCCATGAGGATACACAGGTGCATACACAAAGTCTAAACAAGCTTCCTTTCCCTCTGGCCTTAATATTTAGGGAGAATGAAAACATGGAATTGGATGTCTGAGATGGGCTAGCAAGGACTGAATGAGAGATATCTTTGACTAAGAGGAAAGTTTTGAGAGCCTGTTTTGTCTGAATTCTAGAAAGAGAAATCAGGAAAGGCAAATTTGTTGTCAAAGTCTAACCAGAAATTTGTCTTTGGTGCTCCCTCTACCACTCTCACCTAATTACCAGGCCCTCTCTTTTTGTTCCTCAATACCAACCATTGGGCCAAAGCATTATCCTGGGTTAACCCAACTGTTTTCTCCACTTCTGTATCTAGGCTGTAGATTACTTATGGAGAAAATGATAAGGTCTTCAGATGGGCACCATCAAAGAGTTGTGGTCTTTGTATATCAATAGTCCCTCATTAATTTGTCTGTTTCTCCAGTCAATTCTCATTCCAATTCCAGATGGTGGCTTTTTTTTAATGTTTGGTGTTTCCATGACCTCTCTCTGAACCTCTTCTTTGATAGAAAAACTTTTACTTATCCTTCAATTATCAACTCAAGCACTAAATTCTCTGTGCTTGGTAGAGTGGATGCCTAAACATATTTGTTAAATGAAAGAATAAACAACTCTATGAATGAATGAAAGCTTTCAGCTTATTGGTTTAGTCCCTTAACTCTCACTTTCCAAAAGAATAAAAACTACTGCCAAAGGAGTTAGGTAACGTGCCTATAGTCACACAGCCAAAGACAGAGTTAGAATTTGTTTCCTGTCCACCAGCGTTGCTGCCAGGGTGTACGCTAGTACCTCTAATGGTAAGAGAGCGGTTATGGTGAGATTCAAGGAACTCTACCTGGCCTCCCATGGGTACTTCTTCCCTTCCCATTCCAGGATGCATGCACATCACCAGCTCAGCTTCCCAGGAAGGAAACCGACTAAACTTAATCTGTACTGTGTGGCATGAGAAAGAAGAGGCTGAGGGGTTTATAGTGTTTTTGTGCAAGAACAGGCCTAAGAACTGTTCCCCAGAGACCAGCTTGGAACAGCTGAGACTTAAACGTGATCCTGGTGTTGGTGAAAAATCATCTCAGTTGGTGTTCACCATAAACCAAGCCACACCATCGGACAGTGGGACCTACCAGTGTTGTGCCCAAAGTCAGAAGTCAGATATCCGTCTTCAGGGCCATTTTTTCTCCATTCTTGTCACAGGTGAGTCCCTAACACTACTCCTAATGCAACCAGGTGGGACAGTGAGCAGGGGTGACAGCTGGAGATACAAGTAGATGTTTCAGGTCCTGGATTGGTAGTTTCTTTCTTGGGAAGAGTCCTTTCCATTATTCCATACTTTTCCATCACTCTTACTGGCAGATGCTGCCTTTCTTCAAAGCACATGTACAAAGGTAATCTCATTTTGTCTTTAATTTAAAAAATCTTATTGGGGTGGCCATGCCATTTTTAAACAACAGGGAGACAGAGTCACAGGAGGGTAAAGAGACTTGTCTGATGTTCCTCATTGACCACTGCCAGTAAAAGCAGAGAGAGGTCTAAATTTAGGCCCCCTGATTCCCAATTCAGGGCTCTCCCAGAGATGTGCCTGTATTTCTAAATACAGGCAGAGAGAGCGGTTTGACATAAAATGGATATTTATCTCAAGGAGCATTTAGTTGTAAGAAACAGAAACCCACTCAAGCTACCACAGATTATAGGAGGAAAAAATAAAGCAACAAGTGCAGAGGGCCTTCTTGAGTTCCAGTTCCTGGAATCAGAAACCAGAAAGCTGACAGGACCCAAACCACTTACTCTCTGACTCAGACTCTCTGAGGCAGCGAGGCCTCTCATCTTTGCCTGCCTTCATCACGTGCACACTCCTGCTTCATTACTGCCTTGGCACAGCCTAAATATGGCCATTCCAGCCCCAGCTTCATGACTTCCTCAAGTCACCTGAAGTGTCCAGTGACCCTCTGTTTATTATTTCCAGACAATACAGCAAGCCTTCAAAATTTTGGGAACAAATTATGTTCTACCTAGAATTCTATATGCTGTCAAACTACAAATCAAATGTGAGGAAAGAATAAGGACAGTCAGGCATGCAATGACTCAAAACAATTTTGCCTTCCATGTGATCTTTATAAAGAAGCCACCAGAGGAAGTGCTTCAGTAAAACAAGAAAGTGAGTCAGTAATGTGAATAAAATGAGATCCAGGAAACAAGGAATCTAAAAGGGGGAAGAAATTTTTTCATTCTAGAATGAAAAAAAGGCAAAAAATTACTTTAGAAGAGAGCAGGAGATAAAGGGCTTTGAAAAGAAGATCTCTAAAGGGATAAAAAATGGAATTGATATTAATTGATCATCTTTTTGAAGAGCCACAACAGATCTGATAAAAGGAATAAAGATATGGATATGGAAAACTCTGCCAGTAAAAAAAAATACAATAAAATAAAATCAGGTGATCATTCTCTAGGAAAAACCCCCAAATTTTATAAAAGAAGCATACATACAAACATGTCCATGATTTGGTCAAAACCTTGGTTCTTCCTTTTTTCTTATCCCTATCCAATCTGTTACTAAGTACTACTAGCTCTTTCCCACTTTTATTCCCTTCCTTCCAAAGGGGTTTCCAGGCCTTCATCACCTCACACTTAACATATTCCAATAGTCTCCTAATTAGGAAGCCAACTGTGTCTTACTCATCTTTGTATCTCCTGTACTTACCACAGGGCCTGCGAGCTGTTGCCTAATAAAAATGGTTCATCAACTCCAAATACTGTCTCTGCCTCCAATCCATTCTATACACTGCCACCAGACTTACCTTTCTAAAATGTTAATTTATACATGCCACACCACCATTCAAGGAGTTTTAATGGCTTCTTACTATTAAGTCTAAATTACTTTATCCTGGCACTGAAGGCTCTATAAAATTTCATCCTAATATTTATATGAATACTCTGCTTCAATTAAACTGCACTAGTGGATATTCTTCTTCCATTTATCTAACAAGTATTTATTGTGCATGCCAGGCACAGTGCCAAGCCTCAGGGAACAGAATGCGGTACAACACAGTCCTTGCTCCTTATAACCTAGTATTTGTGTTCTCTAAATATATCCTAAGTGTTTTTACTTGTGAAGGTTCTCCCTAAGAAAGAATGCCTTTCCCATCTTCTCAGTATCTTTAAGTATTAGTCAGCACATATGGATGGTCCCCAAATATGAAAATTAGGTTCCTTTGGAAGGTGAAACTAGTGAGACCAGACAGGTAAGATAATATTAATAAACAATGTCTACCATTTACTGAGTGCATACTATGTGCCAGCATTGTGCTAAGTGATATTAAATTATTCCATTTAATCTCCATGGCCTTTTGAGTTCCTTCAAGATCTATTTGCATCCCCAGTGTCTTATCACCCAGTAGATTTTATATTTATTTACTGCTGTTTAAGTACATCATCATCACTTGCAAATGTTAAAACTATATGGGCGCGGTGGCTCACGCCTGTAATCCTAGCACTCTGGAAGGCCGAGGAGGGAGGATCGCTCAAGGTCAGGAGTTTGAAACCAGCCTGAGCAAGAGCGAGACCCCGACCCTTTAACTATTAAAAAAAAAAGAAAGAAATTTACTGGCCAACTAAAATATATATAAAAAAATGCACGGCCATGTGGCGCATGCCTGTAAGTCCCAGCTTACCGGGAGGCTGAGGCAGAAGGATTGGCTTGAGCCAGGAGTTTTTGAGGTTGCTGTGATCGAGGCTGACACCATGGCACTACTCCTAGCTGGCGCACAAGCAAGACTCTGTCTTAAATAAATATATAAAATATATGGGCAATGATTATGCTGAGCTGTCCTTGAGATCATATAACAGATGTTCTGAAGACAATGCAAAAGAGTATTAATGATTTCTAAATCTCCCCTGATCCATTGATTAATCTTTTGAACCAGAAGCAGGGAACACACAGTGACAGGACTGAAACAAGACTACAACCCGAGTTCGCAGCCATAGTGAGAGACACTCTCAGTTCAGTTTCCGTTTCCTACAAGCAAAAATCTGGTGATGCTGGTCACCAGCCTGGTGGCCCAGAGTAATGTCCAGTAAGACCTCAAGCACCCAAACAAGGAGGGTTGCTATTATCCATATCTGAACACCTTGGTTTATCTCATAGGCAAAAGGTTTGAAAAGGGAAGCCCAAAGGGAGAGAAATGCCTCAAGCCCTGGCTCCACAGGAAAATTCACACCAATATGCGGGGTGAAACAGGTCAAAAGTATTAAGACTTCATATATCTAGAGGAGATAGATGAATCAGACCTTTTTCCGTGGTGGGAGTAAGAGCCTGTCAGGGAAAGAATGCCTGTGGGAGAGGCAAGTTGTATAAAGCTGCCTCTACTTGCTGCATGAACAGAGGACTAACAGGTTTGAGGCAAACAGATTTGGCTGCTTATATGGAAGATCACAGAGGCAAAAGCAAATATGAATCTAGAGTTGGGTTCTGAAACAATGCAGTTTCCCAGCAAAGGCACGGCCAGATTGATAAAGTTATCATAGCTCGTAGCTGGAATTCTCTGAGCACCGTTTATCATATACGGATCTGTTTCCTTCTTTAGATAACAAATAATTGGAACGTTCAATGTTAATTTGCCACTATGTTGTTTGCATAGCAGTAACTGAAATTCAGGCTTTTGCTGTTCCTTGCATTCTTTATTCATTTTATTTAGGTTCCTCAAATCATAACACCACTGTTTGAGTGTCACCAGAATGTAGCTCTATAATGTAGGGGTGTTTGTCTTTGTTTTATTCTAGCAAAAGAACAGTAACAAACACAGTAGACTCTTAATAATTTGTTAAAGAATTTGTATGATGGGTCAATGCCTTGTATGGTGATTCTACCTCATACCACCCTTCCAAACATCCGATTATTCATTCAGGACAGGCATAAGGAGTAATGCTGCCTTACGGAATCCTCAAGTTTCTCACCTAAACCTTAACAATCTCAGTTATGACCCATACTATATGCAAAGACACTTCCTCTCCTACCTCCTTCCCACACCATCTCACAGACTGCTTTTACATTTCCAGAAACAAGGAATCTCCTCAACACCCTATTTTCGCCCCCGTTAATTGCCAAATTATCAGAGGAACAAACCCTCATCTGGATCCTTGGTGAGACCTGGCCAATGTTAGCCTTCCAGTTTTTCCAGGAAGAATATAAGTATCAAGCCAGTCCCGACCTTTGAGACAGTAAATTTTATGATCCTCCCAATCCTGTGGTAGGCTACATTCAGTAAAATATTTTTATTTCTTCATCGCAGAATAAAAACTTTAAAGTGAAAATGACAATTGAGTGTCTAGCCATAATAACTCTAC